ACTATTGTGGTCCGCGAACAATACAAAAATAATAGTGTGGCCCGCGAGGCCGACAACCTTGTACCACCCTGGTGTAAACAGTCACATGACTACCTTTCATGATGCATCAAACATGTTTGAGTAATTCTGTGATCTTGAGATACGAGAGCGTAAAATTGAATTCTTCTGGAACGAAGCGCAGGCCGGAATACTAATAATTATCCAATCAGGGTTAGGGTTTGGGAATTTGAATTTTCAGCGCAATCTGCATTCCTAGCCCAAACCTTAACTGGATATTTACTAATTCTTTTATTTTGAGCGTTGGCGGGCGATTTACAAAATATTCAACAAAACTTAGCAACAGTTGGAATGGTTACGGTCGGTAGCAGCAGTGCTGAGTAATAAAACTATGGGAAAACTACTTAGGATGAAATAACCTAGTTCTTACTGAGAAAAAGCCAAATGAGTACGAATGGTGCACTAATACAGTGTATGACGAAATGAAAATAACTTTTTCCGCTGCGATGTGTCATTATTGAGTAGTATTTAGCTTTATGCCTCCCTTTTCATTGAATCCCAATTTTCCAACAAAAAAAAATGCTGTAATAATTTTGATTCACATAAGCCAGGGCTTCGAAGCAAAGAGCCGCATGCGGCATCGGAACCACAGGTTGCCGTTTAGGCCAACTAAATTGCGCATATTGTACTTAGTTCATGATTAATTACCTGTGCGACTTATAAATTATAAACGAATAACGATTGTTTCCTACCTTCCACATTTCCTGGACAGTGCTCACTAGAACTGCACGTAACACCTATGTCACTCACCTCAAACTAAGCTATTTAGTGAAATTCATTTTTAAAAGTCCGTTCCGGCGAAATTGAATCTTTTTCTACAAAGCGATATCGCTTATTACATTTAAATGAAGCCTTGTTTCAACAAAACTCCTTTTCGTAACAATTACATCCTCGTAAAATTTCCCCCCCACATAACGATATTGTCGCAAATGTATGTTCTTTTATAGCTCACAAAAGTTATTGCCGTACAATATAACATATATTGGCGCATACGAGGCTGTGAAATCGTTGTCGGGCGCAAAAAGGATTCAAGCATGACGCAGCCTAAGTCATGATTAAAGTATGGAACCCGTACCCGAGTTGCAATGTTTTGATCACTATTATTCACGTTCGATATTATACTGGCCTAAGCATTGTTAAAGACAATTTGAAGTGAAAAACACCGAAATGTTCTCATTATTCGCAAACAATACCAATCAATTTTTAAGCCCAAGGTTGTCGGTCTCGCGGGCCACATCATTATTTTTGTATTGTTCGTGGGTCACAATCGTGCCAAGAATAGGTAAACAGTGCAATACAAAACAAACTCTTTTATTGTCTAAACACATTAATCATTATTTGTAATTTATCACACTAAAACATGCAAAAACCACAAAAAAAAAAACTCACTAAAACGATCTTACTATATCTACTATTTCATACTCTTCATAACGGAAAAAGTGTCGTTTTAGATCGTCACCGTCACAACTTGCAGACATATCAACCTTCCCATATCCTGTCGAAAATCTGGTTGAATTGCTCAGCTTTCCTTTCAACTCATGTATACAAAATAGTTTAGAAACAACTGCGGATTAATCGATTACCGAATTTTACCAAATTTGAGATACGGGAGGGTAAATTACTAAATTTTCTGATATGTAGGCTTGTTGCAAAAAAAAAACAAGTAGAAATTATATTGTTTAGTCATAACATTGATATTCAGTTATAAGGCATATACCCAGGCTAATAGATTCTTCATTCGATTTTTAGTTTTCTATGGAACCTATTTTGTTAGCATATATTCTCGACGAAAAAGATAGAAAGCAATTTGACAATTTAGATTAGCCATGTACATTATTCAACTTCGCTAGTTGTCTTGTCTCAGCTAGCCATAACACTAGTTAGTTCGGTGATAGTGATGTAACAATATGTCAGAAGATTTTTATGACGAAACAACACCAAATGCGATTTTTGTTTATCCGCCCGCAAATGCGACACGGGCCACAGATAATGAAGCCGCGTACCTGGGTTTGGACCACTCTGACCTAGAATCACATGGTGTTTTAGCAGCCCCGTCCGAAGGTTACTGCAACCGGATATGGCAGTTTTTTCTTGGTCAAGTATTAAGGTTTATTGTGAATAGACAGATCCCGACTCACAGTGCAGTTGAATATAACAAGGGTAGATTTCCCCGGATGTTGATTAGTTCAGTTTTGTAACAAAAAACGGTGCTTCCGAAGTATGCGAACCAAGATGGCGGACATCGGAACGTAACAGGTTAGGGTTAGGCGATAATTTTTTTTCCAATTTTTCTTATTTTAGTCCTATTATCAGTTCGAAGACTAGCCAAGAGCCTCCCGTAGTATTAATACCTAAAATTATGGCCTAACCCTAACCTAGTACACATATTACATTCCGATGTCCGCCATCTTGGTTCGCATACTTCGGGAGCCCCCAAAAAACAATAGCAAGTAATAATGACGTTATAATTTAAATTTGGCCTGTACCGGTAGCCCAGACAGAGTGAATTTATTGAGTATTTGGGACCGTTGCTTCGATTGGGAAATTTTCAGTTTCATTTGTGAATGTTTCCAGTCGTGTTATGCTGGAAATTCCGGTATTAACTGGATGACTCAGTCATGATATTGGGTTTGGCTGTGGGCGTGGGCAAACGTTTTTAAGCTGTGGGCGTCGACAAACGATTTTGGGCAAAGTGGGACAGACAAATTAAAATTAGTTGTCAGGGCAAACGGCATCAGATAGAATAGTTGCTCAAAGCAACATATCTGAACTCCGTAATAGGGTTTATCATAGATTAAGGTGACACAGCAAATTGGAAGTTAGCGAGTACTACCTAAACTTCAGATACGATATCGCACTTATGGCGATCCACGGCGAAGTTTGCGCTCGACTTTATCGATAAATAATGAAGGACATGCCAGGATAGACTGGATAAAATTAATTTGCTCAAAAATTCATTCGAGGTATTGGTGTCTATTGCGATTGTTGTTTTTACGGAACAAAGTACCGGTAGCCGAGTCGTCATTTAAAACAGGAAAGATTACTTACAGTGGGATTGTCAGAAATATCGCTGGGATTTAACGTTGCGACAGCGATGTCGCAGATACTGGTACCGGGACTCGACAAGAAAGCGACTTGCAGCAAGGCGAGGTCTTTTATCCATGGTGAGCCATCGGCAATTGATAGCAACGAGAATACCGGTGGATACGGTACCAGTTAGCCTAATACGGGAGTCTTGGGTATAGCGAATGTATTTGACGTATTTTGATATTAGTTTTAACTTATCAGCTTAGGGGGTCATATGCTTGTATGAACGTTGTGCCTAGTCTAATATTATGCTTGGAAAATGTATTTTCGCGTTCTCATAGACAAGCTTAAACTTGTCCAAATAGGTGAACTTCGAATTGAATCAAACCTTCAACTGTAATTTCTATGTAAATTTGTTTCCAGTGCTCACTCATCATGTCGCAAAGCTTAATTAGAGAGCATGGAACCGTCTCGTCATGCCTGGCCTTAATCAGCTTATCTTAACAGAGTAGTTTAATTTATTGCGCGAAAGGTTACGACATTCATTACAGTGCATGACGCATAGTTTCACAGTCTGCCATGTATGGCTTAGCTCATATCCATAGATTATACTTGGATTTATTTCTATGCCAAGCCTGACCGACTGTATCAAAAGAAAGAAACTGGAAATAAAACGGAGATTGTGAGTACTGAATTTCATTAAATTGAATTTTTATGTGTACCAGGTCAGGGTTCAGGTTGTGCGCCATTTTGGTGCACATACTTCATGAGCGCCAATTATTTAACAAAAAACACAAGAAATCAGTCTTTCTGGTATTTAAATATGTATTATTATAGTGATTGCCGCTTCAAGAAGATCTTTGTTAGTTTTTTACAAAGTTTATGTTAAAATTTGTAATCCTTACGGAAATAATAATGAACTCTTGCTAAGACAAGAGCTGTCAGCAAGGCGTCCTAAAACAGACGGCTATGCGAGCCTGAAAACTGACTGAATAATGGAATCCTGCTCCTAATGAGCCTTACACTAGCAGTGCATTATAAACTAAAAACAAGAAACACAAAATATTATTACACGCCGCAACTTTATTGACTAAATTTTTCAACAAATCTCATCGAATTAGGTTTTTAATCTTCTCTGCTAGCTAGGTGACTGCTGTATGTAGTGTTATCATCCATTTTGCAATTGTTCAGCTTATGACGAAACATGTCTTATCCACAAATTCCGACTCATTCCTATTTGAATGAACCATACAGATGTAATCGCTTTTATTGACAAATTTATTTGCGTGAATTACATCCGTTTCCAGTTTTGAACGAAGCCGACACATTTACAATGGCCTTGGAACGCCTTGGTTGTCGTTAAATTCCGTGACAACCGCAGCCCAGCCGGGACCCTAGACGTCAATTCCGGGATTGTCCCGGCCATTCCGGTACGGTTGGTAGCACTAACTACGGGAGACCCCAAAACTCCCGACGAGCCCCGACGCAAGATTTCCCGGAGGGTGATCATGTAAAATTCAAAATAAATTTTTATTGTAACAAAATAAGTTTACCCTCTGGGACTTTCACACAGATCTGGTATGAAATGATTCGCTTCGAACCAAGGCCATTTATAAGCAGTCACTGATATCTAGGATATATGGGGATCTAATATTTTTATAGAACAGGAATCTTTGAAGCTCGACGTTGCGTACGATTTATCACACCCTGGGTCAGCTGGTGGGCGTGGCCATCACATTTAGAACCTAAGCTGAGTATGTGACTTGCGATGCCAACACAACCAAGTCTAACTAACGCTTCAACCGCTGGGCCATTGCACCCAATCCGGAGAATATACGGGAGGGCGAGTTTCTTTAATAAAAGTTGTTTCTGTTAAATTCCAACGAACTAAGAAACCACTCGATCAATAGGTTCGATTATATTTATTCAACCACTACATCCATCGCTGCAAAAACCATTAAAACACAAAATGAATTAAAGTAAAATAACAGTAAACATGCATTACTATACGATCAATATCAATAAAAATGTCGGGCATGGCTTGTCAGTGATTTGTCAGGTAGATTACGATCAATGACAGGCAAGCTTGTACTTGGGCATCGATATCAAATGGAGCGATTAATACAATCAGTATAATTTGTAAGAAGGTTCGAAATCCAGACTTTGCCTGTCAGATTTCATGCTTTGAGTCGATGAAAATAACATGAGAAATAACTATGAAATATTGGTTAATTTGTGTGTTTTTTTAGGGTACATAAATCAAAGAACTTGAGAATAATTCTGCAAATCGAGAATCACTGGAGCGTTATCTATCATCAGGGTTCAAAATGAATACATAATTGCTCTACAAACTACAAATAAGCCAAATCTACTTTATATTAGAAGCAGAATACATGTTAACAATGTAAAACACTGAAATTAATCGGGTAAAATAACAACAAAAATACATTTGGAAATATCTCTATAGTAGCAAAGGGTTCCCTGATGCCTTTGGGATAAAATACACAGTTTATAGTTGGGATGTTTGAGTTCGGCAAACTCTCATTGGTGTCGCATTTCCGGGACCGAAATTTAGATTCTTCGGAGTTCAAAGGGTAAAGGCGGAAACTAAAGTCAAAATTTTCTACAAAATTTTAAATTGTTCAGGATTACATAGATTAAAAAGGGAAACGGACTTCATTTTTTATAAGACACTTGGTCATGTATTTCTCTCCGAACAAGGCCCTATACAGGTAGCCAATTGGCTTTGAATTGTAGAAGTGTGAACTGCGATGCAAACACAGGTACGGGATGGGTTTTTACATTCATTGTTCAATCATGGGGACTGTAAATATGTTTGTTTATTTATATTGAATTAAAGATCTTGGTTTGAAATCAACACTGATGGAATAAATTAAGTCTCATCTATTGATATAAGAGAAAAATATATATTAAAGCAATTGCGAAATATAAATCAAGGAGGGACACACTTCAGTGCAGATGAAATAAATACAGTGCTAAAAATCAACACTTATTTATAATTACAAATTCTCCTATTATAAAAATGCAATCCTCATGGCTAAAAATTGTTATTGTGAAATCTGCTTGAAGCAAGGTCAGATTTACTCTACCTACCTATTTTCTATGTCTACTCTACCTATCAAGGTCTGTAGTTCTAATCCTCTAATTTAAATTAAGAAACTTATAATAGTTCATTAATTGTACAAATCGGCATCAATTGTACAAAGTTCAAATAAATTTCATGATAAACATTGAATTATAGCGTCCCCAACTACAAGGTTTATTCGGAAAATCTATTTTTTATATTTTTCCCGAGTATTTCTCAAGTTTATATTGGACATTTTTATATTTTCATGTTTCACCTCATAACTAGACCAATCCTCTGCTTTTTCATACACATCCAGGGATTGCAAATAAAACGATTCAGCCATGGGATAATTACCGAGATAATCATGCGCAGTACCAATGTTGCTTAATAGATCCCCAACCAAATTATATTTTGTAGCCTCCGAACCAAACGTTTTTTTCATCAAATCTACAGCTTCGTTATAAAATTCGATCGCTTTCTCAGATTTACCAACCGCACCGTAACTTGCACCTACATAATTCAAGCAATCTGCTTCCATATTCACCTTATCATCCTTATCCGCCCCTGATACTGATCTCAACTCTTTCAACATATCAGTGATCATTTCCAAGCCAACATCCGTTGCAATCCCTTTCATTCTATCGCCTTCCTGAGCCAGAGCCTTGATCACATGGTAGCAATTAAATGAGCAATGCATAATACCAACAACCGAGATAATCGGGTTCGAATCGATCTTATACAACTTAGCACAACAAGAGAGTAAAATCAATGCACGAATATAAGATGAATCAGAAATATAAATATCAACTAATTTTGTGACGTCACCGACCATTGGTCTCGGCGATGACGTCATCATTGTCTGTAACGCTTCAACGCACCTCAATGCGTTTCTTTCCCTTCCAAGTTGAAAGTAGCATTCTGACATCATTAACTGTTGACATGGCGACGGCAAAAATTCTTCAATCAGATCCACAGCTTCAAGGAACTTGTTATTTTCCATGAGATGACGCAAATTCTCTGGAAATAAGGTTTTAGATTAGGGTTACCATATCTAAAAAGACAAAATTGTTCGACACAATCTGTGTTGCACGAAAATGCGAATTATCTCTGAAAAAATAGGATTTCGTGGATGCGCAAAATCTGAAAACTTGAGGATTTGTTGCAGGGATTTTCTGTATTCGAAAATCCTTGAAATTTAAGCACTTTTCACCGTACTACCTTGTTCCCGCCCGTGTATGAGTAATTGTTCAACTATAGTCGCCATATATGTTTGAACTTGCGCTAGTTCACATTGTCTATTGTCATATTTGCGCGCTTTTAGATTTTGTTCGCCGTGATAATTTTTTCTTTTTTTTTCCTTATATATATATATATATAAAATATTGTGCTTACCATATCATGCCCTGAGGAAGTTTTTTTGAATAGAAATTCAAAACGTCGGCAAATTATATCGTTTTGCTAACATCGGTTGTGCATTATTTATTATCGATATAAATTTGGTAGCCTACCTTATTTGTTTATTTTGATAAGAGAAAATGAATTGAGTTTTTCTATGCCAAGGAAGAACCGTTCCACGAACGAATATCAGGCGTTACAGGTACTGGTAAGTTACCGTACCGCATATGATTATCGGGAAATCGATATTTTATTATTATTTTGCCCTGGTAATGGAGAAGTGATTCGGATCACTTGGTATTTCAATTCACGCTGAAATTTGATGGAGAAGAATAGATCATTACCACAGGACATGGAATACCTATGGCAGTCCCTGTGCCCCGATTCAGGTGCTGGTAAGTTAACGCATATGATTTGGAGGCGTTATTTATGGGAAATGTTCGACTGCGGTACCTGATCCGCTAATACAGACGTGACTCACATCACGTGATATTACAATTGATGTTTAAACACAATCATGAAAAAGGGATAATTTCATGAACAGGCAGTTGCAATAACACACTCACTAAATCACGCTGCCGTAATAGGTCCCCAAATTTCTATGGATGCAATCCGTTGCTGAGTGCGGGCCTCAACTATCAGCAAATGTCACACACACATGCAACATACCAACAGACTAATTAGAACGACAAAACATCATTCATTAATATATTTGAACTCGCGGTATTTTGATCACGTTTAGGTTTTCCGGACTGTAGCCCGAAAGCTTTCTCAAAATTATTTGCGTCCCTTCAAACTCGCAACTTTTGACTCCCTGTAGTATATCATTGTATACCTGATGTTCGATTGGCAAAAATGTAGAAAGCACAAATACCTACCAAATGCGATGAAATTCATCATTCCGTCACTCAAATTCATACTTGCAATCTGTCCTGTGACGTCAGACGATGATGATGGCGTTGTAGGCTCGGTGTCTGAAACAAGTTGAATCGGTCGGTAAAAAACAGGCTTCAAGATATAGAGGACTTGCACGGGTCACGTGACTTTGTCTACTGGACGGCAAAAAAAAACAAAAACTTCCACTTGGCTCCTGTCAGTTGCAAGTTGGATTATACGTTTCCGTTTTGTTTGGCTGTTGAGAATGGTTATTTTGTATTGTTCCGTTGGCTGTACGTACAGTATAGACCAGTGGTTCCCAAACTTTTTTGACAATCGCCCCCCTATAGTAGCTTATACAACTTCATCGCCCCCATCAGCAAGATGCAAAAAACGTGACAATGCCCCTTTTCACATCCGCTCAGACACGCTCACTCAGACAGATTCTCAGGCGTGGTCGTGAACATTACCTCAGTTTCGCGATTTTGAATTATGTTCGTTAGTTTTTAGTTATTTTTCGGAAATTTAAATATAAATCAAATAAATCAATGATTACTTTGTCTTCTTATGAGTTTCAGTTAAATTACAGGAATCAAAAATTAGTGTAGAAATAGCTGTGATAGACTAGGCTCAAATTCTTTATCGGTACTTTTAAAAAACAGATTGTTGAATGGTGTGTATTAGAATGATAGTTTGAAACAAATACCCCATTTTACAGGCAACAACTCGCGAAACCACACTTAAAATAAACACCGAAAATTTTAAAATGGTAAAGTATGGGAAGAATTTTCCGCGGTCAAAGGTCGGGGAAGGTCCATTCAGTGAATCGTCCCGGGCCACATTATTTTACTCCGGCCGTATTTTGCCGACCACTGGGATACGCAACTACCGTACCTTACTGCGAAGACGAGTCCAGAAATCCTTTCGCGTGTGATAATCGCCCACGTGATTCAAGCCTGCGAATGCACACAGATTACAGAATTAGGTGCGCCGAACATATACCAGGTTTCGCGAAATCGCCCCCTTCAACTTTTTCGCCCCCCTCTGTATCGTTTTCGCCCACTGGGGGGCGATATCGCCCACTTTGGGAATCATAGACAACGAAATGGGTCTTCAGTTATATTACACTGTTTTCAAAAGATCCGGAACGTCGCGCAATGTGGATATCATCTAGTCCAGTGTGTCAAGTCCAGAAGTCATCTCGCTTGTGTTTTACTGTTTGCGGACAGCACTTCGTTGATGGTGAGTGATGATGTGCCGTTATCAATTTCTTTAAATATTCATAAGCTTCCTCATTTCAATGGAAAGCAGATGACAAACTACTGTTATTGGTAGGCCTACTTGCAGACTTGACTTGTGTAAAAAATTAATCATCAATTGCCGTAAGGTATTGCCTGGACGGCTAATAAAAAAACGATTTGATTGATTGATTATTGTTTCCCTAGTTAGCAGGTAATCTATCAGTGAGTGTGAAAAGTTGAATAGATAACTAAAGTTCAACGCCAGTGCTCATGCAAAAAAGAACCAGAATTCAATTGAATTCGCCATCTAGGAATACGCTCGCCACCGCATCTCTGATCACCCTGGTAGTTTCACAGGTTTCAATCACATGCGGGGATAGTTATGTGCGAGAGGATTGCAGCTCTTCTCCCACTGAGGGTGGTTTACACGACCGCTGGTCGGTTACGACATTCCCCACCATTAAGTCCATGCTACTGACACCAAGCAGTCCTGCCAATAGATGATATCCACATTGCGTGACGTTCCGCATCTTTTGAAAACAGTGGAATATAACTGAAGATCCATTTCGTTGTTTATACTATACGTACAGCCAACCTGACAGGAGCCAGCTGGACGTTTTTGTTTTTTTGCCATCCAGTAAACAAAGTTACGTGACACGTGCAAGTCCTCTATACAGGGTGTTAAAAAGTAACGCAAAATTTAAGTAAAAAATTCCACTGAATTTAACCTTTAATAGTTTCCATTATTTTATAAATCGCATTGAACTGATTTTAAATATGAATTAAATTATTTGTTTGTGTGTTTCATCTCTCTCGTCCTATAAATATGAAGCGAGAGCGAGATGGAGAGCACGCCACAATCGTCAGCTGTGATAGCCGAGTGGTTAAACGTTAAAGCGTTGGACCTCCTGTCCTGCGCATGTTCGAACCCTATCAGCAACAGACCCACTTGCTTCAAATTTGCGAATAAGTCTCGTAATTGTGGAATTATACAGTGGGTTCTCATCACCGTGAGGCTGATGCTGATATTTCCAGATGAGTGGTAATTTCTCACCCAATCAATCCTTGCTTTGATGCACAACTGGGAGACTTCAAAGTGAATCGAACGCGTATGAAATCTATGGTAACGAGAATTTTAAAAAGAGATTCTAAAACTGAGTTGTTGAATTGGCATTTTATGTTAGGAATTTAATTGGAATCGCTATGTATAACATGGTTTGTTGCAATGACGGAAAAAAATCGGTACTTTTTTAACACCCTGTATTGTGGGCAGAGGTTTCGTGGTTCACTATAAAATACATAAAAACTTTTACTTGGTACTTGGTAGAACTTTTACTCTAATCACTAACGCACAGTAGGCCCGAGTGGCATATCAAAAAGTGTTGATTATATTCACATATTTAAACCTCACGCTGGTGTATACAAACGGCATATTGACCGTTTCATTTTGACCGTCGAAGTCGTAAGTATCTTAAGCCAATTCTTCATGCGATAGTTCATTGTTTTACAAAAGAACCAAGTAAATAATCAAAACGTTGACATACTTTGTGATGACTTCTCTATTTTTTCTTCTTCTGATTCTTTGAAAACATATGTTGCGATCGAGTCAGGTTGCGACGTGTCAGACTGAGTATCTTCTGAGTGACCTGATAATGAGTTGAATATTTTTCAACAAACTCCTATTACTACTGACAAGAGAGGGAAAATATTTAGGTTGAGGACATACCTGTTGTTGGAACGACGACCTGACGAATCTTTGCAGCCTTAACATCCGTCTTCAACCTGAAAATAAAATAAAAGTCTGTTCCATATATCTGGTGATAGTTGATTGGACACATTTACACACTTTTTTGAAGCGATTTCACTATAATTACCCCGATAAAGTCAATAATTCATATGTCATTGTTGGCTATCCCAGGTTTAAGAATTGGGTGAAAGATTTTCGAAACCGATTTCTACAACCAGGGGTGTGCCAAACTTTACTGCTGCCTGGGGCGAGTTCCTTGTAATGATGCCCTCTATAGCTAACTTCAAAAATAATTCGGGGAATAAAGAAATTTATAGATGTTGTTATACATGAGAATGAATAAAGGTCAAGTGAGAGTGGAATGTTTGTATTATTGATTCAAATAATGCGGCCAGAGGCCCACATCTGAGATTTACGTCCTGTTTGGATCAAAGTGAAATATTTTCATTAAACCATGTCAATCAATACTTACCGAACTTTGTCTCCAGCAAACTTTGTTACGTCCTGATAATTGACAGTGATAGCTGGAAGTTGAACTTGAATAACAGGAGGTTGGGGCTCTCGTTCAGCCATTTCACGAATTTCTTTTTCACTTATTTAGATTTAAGATATTTTGAAACACAAATTATGCATATATGCGTTAAATTAATGGAAATTTACATAGAACACGGTCGTTGTTGGTTCAAGATTAAAATTTCTGTGAACGTCTCTAGTGTTATTTTTTGAAAAATAAAATTGAAATAAGACACAGTAGGTTTCCGCAAAACGAGGTAAATATTCCCATAAGAAGACAAGTACCTTAAGCTTAAAGCCGACAACATGCGATGTTTCACTAACACAGACCCCAAATACAGGGTCGCGGCCTGGATGTTTTGAAGGGTGGAATTGAAATCGGAAATTCCTATTGAATTCGGCTTCTAAAATAGTCGCCTCTCGTTAAAAAAGACGACTTTGTCAGCGGATAACGATTTTTTTGTTGCGCAAAATATCCAATCAATGGCCGATACGAGCATTTAAAATGTCTTGTCATATTTGTTCAAATGTTTAAATCGCTCAGCACTCGACTTTCCGATAAAATTTATTTACTCTTCTAAAATAAGGTTATTTACTCCTTTAAAATACTACGGCAATCTGTGGACACAAAATATGGGGTGTACTGTCCGAATGAGATTAAATCTGATTTGTATATTTGTGCGGTCTTGGGAATCCGTTAAATTTGAGCAGTTTTTTTTATTTAATAATGACTGGCACTTGGTACAACATCAGTGACCATGGTATGTATTGTGGCCGAGTACAACGTGGCTTTGGCGATTTACAGTGTTTTAGGTCGTACGCTTTAGTTCACACGGATAATTACGTCCTACACGATAAAGATACGGGAAAAATACACTGCGTTCACTGTTATACCCAGGGATTCCATACCGTTCTTATTTCTACAATTTGTCCTTATTTTTGGCTTGCGTCCTTATTTTTGGCTTGCGTGTCATTATTTTGTCTTATTTGGACTTCATAAAGGAAGCTTTGTGTTGTTTGTTTTATCGCCAAAGCTTTATCGTGGCATCATAAAAGCAACACAATCCTATTTGGAACACAAAGAAGCAAGGCACAGAAAGGCATGAAACATGGTTAGTGTGGCGATCCTTGGGTTTTGTCGTGGTGTATTTTAGCCTTTTGTATTTTAGCCTACATTTAAAAATTAGCAAATTTAAGAACGTTTTTCGTGATGAGTACAGGAAAGAATTCAAAGTTAAACAAAGCTTGAAGGGTGAGTGCTTCGCACACTGTGACGTCTGTAATTGTGACATTGACCTGGAGAGCATAGGGAAGCCAGCTATTTCTGCTCACAATGCAGAAATTTTTCCAGTCGTCCTTATTTTTGGTTTCAGATCGATGGAATCCCTGGTTATACCTACGTATAACCACGACGTACTGATTACGCAATACGCGAATGGATCACATGACTTGCGTCGCGAAGATGCGTAAGATAGCAATTAAGAAATAGCGTGTGATCACGTTCTCAGCAAGAAAGTCGAGTGTCGATTAAATTTTAACACTGATAATCATATCACATTTGAGACACCAGATACGTAAAATGAATACTGTAATGGTAAATAAAAATAAATTCTCTCGGAAGATGGTTCGGTTTTACACAAATATTTGTGTAAATATCAAAAAAAGTGAGTATTGGCGCTTTCCTCTCCCCCGGGATAAATATGCGAATCCTATAATCCTAGCCTGATGGTGTAAACCGGGGTGGTCCAAACCCAGGCCCGCGGGCCATAAGTGGCCCGCCGCTTCAATATCTGTGGCCCGCGTCGCATTTGCGCGAGAGCAAACAAAAAATCGCAATCAGTGTTGTTTCGTCATAAAAATAGCCAGAAAAATATTTTGACATATTGTTACATCCCTAATTTCACTGAATTGACTAGTGTTGTGGCTAGCTGAGGCAACTAGCGAAGTTGAATATTGTGATAAGCTAGTCTGGATTATTAACTGGCATTTTATTTTTTGTTATTTGTAAGTTTTTAAACATTAGTATGAAAAGAAAGCGGACCAATTCAGATGACTTTTGACTGAATATGGGAAAGAAAACACCCCATGCTTGCCTAATATGTCTGTACGTTATGTCGGTGACAATCTGAAAAAGAAATTTGTTCTTTATGTCATTTTATCCGTTGTGAAAAGTTTGAAATCTTACACTAAATGTGGATAGAGTAGAAAATTTTGCACGTCTTAGTGAGTTTTGTTGTTGTTTTTGCAAGTTTTAGCTTGATGAATGACAAATAATGGTCAATGTGTTCGGACAAAAAGTATTTGATTTGTATTGCACTATTTACTTATTCTTGGTAGTATTGTGGTCCGCGAACAATACAAAAATAATAGTGTGGCCCGCGAGGCCGACAACCTTGTACCACCCTGGTGTAAACAGTCACATGACTACCTTTCATGATGCATCAAACATGTTTGAGTAATTCTGTGATCTTGAGATACGAGAGCGTAAAATTGAATGCTTCTGGAACGAAGCGCAGGCCGGAATACTAATAATTATCCAATCAGGGTTAGGGTTTGGGAATTTGAATTTTCAGCGCAATCTGCATTCCTAGCCCAAACCTTAACTGGATATTTACTAATTCTTTTATTTTGAGCGTTAGCGGGGGATTTCACAAAATATTCAACAAAACTTAGCAACAGTTGGAATGGTTACGGTCGGTAGCAGCAGTGCTGAGTAATAAAACTATGGGAAAACTACTTAGGATGAAATAACCTAGTTCTTACTGAGAAAAAGCCAAATGAGTACGAATGGTGCACTAATACAGTGTATGACGAAATGAAAATAACTTTTTCCGCTGCGATGTGTCATTATTGAGTAGTATTTAGCTTTATGCCTCCCCTTTCATTGAATCCCAATTTTCCAACAAAAAAAAAGACTGTAACAATTTTTATTCACGTGAGCTAGGGCTTCGAGGCAAAGAGCCGCATGCGGCTTCGGAACCACAGGTTGCCGATCGCTGGTTTAGGCCAACTAAATTGCGCACATTGTACTTAGTTTAGGATTAATGCGACTTATAAATCATAAACGAATAACATAGCGTACTAGACAACTAGAGAGATTTATGATCAACAAAACATTCATAAGATTTGAAGTTCCAAGCTATGTATCGTCAGCAAACAACGAATTGAAAGAAGTCGATGTGGCCAATATCTTCGTCATAAAACACTTTTCTTACCATCGTGTCTGTTTAACTAAAATTTACGGGTTAATCATACGTGACGCCCTCCCCAGGATTTCGTTGAAATAGAAGCATCTAAAAAATATGTGGCGTCATAAAATAACTCCATACTATTAATTATTTTGTTCAGAGGAGGGGGGGTCTCTATGTGACGTAATATTTATTGGCTAAAGAGTGTTGTGGCGATATGCATAATGATAAAAAAAAAATTGCCTTCACAAGCGGTTATATTTGACATCAACTTGATTTGAAAAATAACTCAAAGTTGTAATAAAACGTCAAATTAACAGAAATACGCGACTTCATATTAATGCCCATTTTCAGTCGCAGGAAGGTCATACGATAATTTAAATTTGCGATAAATATACAGAAAGCATATTTGTCTAATCCGAAGCAAAGTAACTCTTCACTGATCGCCGTCAAACATAACGTAAGTTTAATTGGAAATAAAAAGCATGGAACCCCTGCGCATGTGAATCAAGTGTTGCTGATATGTCACGAGGTGGATTATTTTTTGTCGTTGTTAGCGAACAATATCAAACTCCAGACAATTGTTTATTGTCAAATAATCCACGTCAACTAGACGATAATTTGATGGAAATTTAATGATTCTAAGGTAAACGTAGGCTTTTGCGGTCATTGGTAAACTCTTACCCACCGACGAAATGTTGCTTCGCTGTACTTATTTTTCGGATATAAAACAGACCTTGTTATTCCGAACTTTGAAAATTTATCTACCCGAAGTTTTCAGTCCATTTATTATCAATGTACCTACAAAAGATCCCAGAAGTTCAATTGGGCGGAATCAGATGGCTCATAACTTTTTTAAAAAAATCGTCTTTTTTTCAACGTTTTGTTATTTGGAAACAAAACTCAATAATTTTTTCTTATAAAAAGTCAAATCAACAACAAAACGCGACTTCATCTTAATTAATTCCCTTTTCATTTGCGAGGGCATAGCCCATTGCCCTCATTACGATAATGATCATACGATAGTTCAAATCTGCGATATGGATACAAGGAACATATTTATCTAATCTGAGGCATAGTAACTATTCGTCGATCGCGTCAAACATAGCGTAAATTTAATTAAAAATAATAAAAATACATCGATAAAATACATACCCGATTAAAATACCATTTTAACTCTCTCCTTTCGTGCGATATTTTACTCATCAAATATCTCTGGAAGCGGAATATAAATTGACTTAAGGGTTAATAATACGTCACGAGGTGTTTTTTTGTCGTTATTAGCAAACAATATCAAACTCCAGACAATCGTTTATTGTCAAATAATCCACGTCAACTAGACGATAATTTGATGGAAATTTACTGATTCGATGGAAACGTAGGCTTTTGCGAGCATTGGTAAACTCTTACCAACCAACGACATTTTGGGTGTGGTCCGCTACCTCATAAGTGTTTAATGCGTTCCAAATTAGATATATCAAAAATGCCTAATTTTAAGCAACTGAAAAGGAGTCTCGAGGAAAAACGTTTATCAAATTGTGCTTTATCGTTTTATCTGATTAAAAATTGTGTTGGCAAGGCTCCAATTATTTCAATAAAATCAATCGAGCTCGTCGTTAACACTAATGAGACTCTGATGTCACGAGACAATGCTGTAGTAACCACACCCAGCTGGTATACGAAAGCCGCAAGGTCTACCACGCTATAGCAATATATTCAAATTCTAGTAGAATAGCATGAGGTCTCTCTCTAGCTCACACAAACCTATGCCTTCTCGCAAACGTATATTTTCTCAGTAGTTATACCCGAAAATCTACATTCTACATACTAAACTTCGTTTGCACAGAACCATTAATTTCTCATCTACATTTAGGTGATAATGTGGATTCGCAGTTTAAACTATTTTCCTAACAACCTCAGACAAGTCTGCACTTAGGCGATATTATATTTTAAATTATCGAAACCATTGCCATATCGCCAATGTTCACTTTTTTCGAAACGCAGTGGGCTTACAACTTGACTTTCCGATCTCTAATTAACAGCTTCAACTCTGGATCTATAACAATGACTTTGCCATCAAGACTCCGGGCTGCAATAAAATACTTTGTTTAACTCGTTGCCAGTGAGTGTCACAATCACACATAAGCAAAGGTAAACAGCCAAATGCTTGGAACTGTAAGGGTTAAACATACAAGGCGTCATCGTTTATATTTTAGAATGTTTAATTATTAGCAAACTTCTGAATTCGCAAACAACAAATGATTTATGACTTTACTTTACAATAAAAAAACAGTGGACCGGAACGCCTGCTTCATATTTGGGACCTTACCAAACGTACAAACGTATTGCCTC